AAAACCGATTGCCCAACTAGGTGGAATTCCACCTATGACATGTTAACCAAGGGAACTGAGTACAAGGGCCCGTTAACACTATTTTACAACCAAAAATTTCCACAAACTGCTTTATATGATTATGATTGGTATAACTGTGAAAGATATATGCAATTTTTACAGTTATTATATAACATGACGTATTGTTTTTCTTCTGTTTACAATCCTTATGCTCAAAACTTTCTTTCTAATGCATGTTTACTCGCCCAACTTTTCGCTGATCATCGCAACCAAAGTGATTATTATCAGTATCTTCCATCAATGGAAACAAAGTGGCGTAAATATTATAGTGAAATTCCTTTGATTTATATTTTTGCATCCATATTAGATCCTAGGCAAAAGTATGAAAACACCTTTATGTTAGTTGACATTTATTTTCAATGCATGAATCTTGACGATGATGTAGAAACCTATAAGACTCATGTGAAGGATTAGTTTTTTGCTTTATATAGAGTCTATGAAATCAAATATGGTACCGTTCCTCACACAGGCCCTTCCCAACCATCCAAAAACGTAAGTAAGAAGGCCAAACATTTATTTTCACAAGCTACTAACTTGATTTCAAGGTTTTCAGGTGATTCATCAATCAGGAGAACGCAAAGCGACGTCTCGGAGTTGCAGATGTACCTGAGTTACGACTTCACCAAAGGCATGGACGACGATGAGATAAACAGCCTCGACCTCCTTGCATGGTGGAAACAACAAAGCACGAAGCATCCAACTTTGGCGGCAATGCACGAGACATTCTTGGTATCCAAGTCTCCTCTGTTGCCTCCGAACGAGCTTTCAGCGCATCCGGAAGGGTTCTGGACGATAGAAGAACAAGTCTAAAACCCGAAACACTAGAAATGTGCGTGTGTTTCAAAGATTTGGTTGGATGCGAAAAATCGCTCACAAGACCGTTCTTACGAGGACAACGACAACGATGAAGGAACCTCCGCTTCCGACCGTTTGGGTTCGGCTAGTTCCCAATCTATCCAACTAGCCGATGAAGCCGAAGCCAACGACGAAGACGAAGACGAGCAACAAGAAGAATAGACAATTTTGGAATATTGTACGATTTTAATCATTATCAATATTATCATTTTCCAATTTTTGTTTAATACCATCATTGTACGATTTTTATCATTGTTCTCATTGTACAATTTTCTCAACTCAAGTAATAATAATATGAAGTACGCATTATTCACATCCAAAGTCCAATTTGCCTTTTTTCCCCATTTTGTTATAATTTGTAAATTCATATTAAAAAAATAAAATTATACCAATTACTAATACAAAATTATATTTAATAAATCATAAACATTAAATTTTAAATTAATAGTATAAAGTAAATATATAAATATAAATATTGAATATACAAAATTATAAAACATAAATATTCAACTTAATTTATTTTATACCTTATAATTTTATAACTTATAAAACTTATAATTATAATTTTATAACTTATAAGTTAATAAGTTAAAATTATAATTTTATAACTTATAACTTTATAAGTTATAAATTTTTATAACTTATAAATTATAATTATAATTTTATATTTTTATAAATTATATACATTATAATATAAGTTATAATTTTATAACTTATTATAAAAAAAATTAAAAAAAAAAAAAAAAAAAAAATAAATTCAGGAAACTGCCCAGCCCGCAGCCAACCCTCCAGGCTAGCACGCAGGCCGGCACGTGGCAGGCACGGCACGAGGGCCGTGCTAGGCCGTGGGCTGGCCCGTGAAAATGGTCGGCACGGCACGACACAAGATCTTGGGCACGGCGGCACGACCGGCACGGCACGCCGGAGCCCGTGGCCCGCCAGGCACAGCTCGCGGCGGCACGGCTCGGCACGATGCCCACCTTTACGGTACATGTAACGTTGCACGATACGTTGTGTATTGTAGCACAATACATTCTATTTATTTGGAAAATGCCTTTGATATAATTCTTTAGGCATCGTTGGATTCATTTCACAAAATACACAAATCTTTAGGCATCGTTTTACCATTTCGGATTCATTTCATGGATTAGGGTTAGGTTTAGGGTTTTAGGTTTACGGTTTGGGCTTCATTAAAATTAGGGAAAGGGTTTAGTTGCGGGTTTGGGCTAGGAATAAGGCTAAGAAGATGGTTTGGATAAATTTTTGGGCTACAAAAGGGTTTGTTTAGGTGGATTAGGTAGAAATGAATTAGGCTATGTGCATGGTTTTAAACACTCCACAGATTCAAATCATTCAATACGCAACCCGACCAATGACGACAATGAAAGGTTGTTCATCATCGACAAACTCATAAAAAGACCCGGTCCACGTTAATTTATTTTGGACCACTAAAATTAGAGGCACTATAGTCGTTTTATTAATAAAAAAAGGTCACTATATTAAAATAAATCTTATTATATTAAAATAAAAGTCATTGTGTTTTATAAAGGTCATAAGAGGTTAATTTTTTTAAATGAAAATTTTTAAATACTGGTCAATATGAATTATAAAGGTCACTATGTTAAAATTAGGGTCCCTATGTTCAACTTAATGTTATACTTGAAATGAATGATGTCCTTCCAACAAGTTATTATTCTGATAGAGGGTTCAGAATTATTATAGAGCTAATTCTTCAAAAAGGTCAAGTGATCGGAATGCCTAGGTGGAGGCCGCTTCCGATCAGTAATATTAAGGTATAATTAATATTACAGCTTAATCTTAACTGAACCCTTCGGGTCGAACCCTATCGAACAACCGATCCGAGACAACGAATTAATCTGAAGGATTCAATGAGTCGTCGGAGTTTTACGAATACAGACGTCGGATATCGAGCCTAGAGCGTCGAGACCGAGCGTCGCAAAATCACAAGCAACAAGTACGGGCATAGCCGTAACATCACATTGGCCTAGCCATGTGAGTGCTAGGCTAGGCTAGTTCATCGTAAGCCTAGGTGCACCATGCGTGTGCTAGGCGTGCCATGAGTGCTAGGCGCACAAGGCAGCCCATTGTAGCATCATGCATGCGTGTGTGCGTGCCTTCGCATGGCACAGCACCACCGCAGCATGTGTGCATGGGTGCCTAGGTGCCATCGCAAGCTCTAGCACAAGCCTACGCATTGCACAGCACTATCGCATGGCTAGGCCTGTGCGTGTGTGCGTGTGCATGCATGGCATCGCAGCGAGCAGCATGCTAGTAGCCTCGTGCCTTCGCATAGCTGCGTGCTTGTGTGTGTGCCTTCGCATGGCAGCACCAAGCACAGCGAGCTAGGTGCAGTGCCAGGCAGCAAGCAACCAACAATGAGGGGCCTCGCCCAGCACCTAGCATCATGCGTGGCTCGCTAGCAGTACACGTGTGCTAGGCATGCTGGCTGGTGCGCGTTGCGTGCTGGGCAGTGATGCGATGCAGGCTAGCTGTGATGGCTGGTGCATGCTAGCATGTTAGCTGCCTGCCAGCCCAACAGTCCTTGCTTAGTGCCGGTTTTGTGAGAGGTGGGGACCAATGCTTGGAGCATGCCTTGGGGAGCAAGGCAATGGTCCACCCCATGGTCATGGTCCTCACCTAACTCTCTCTCTTCCCTTGACACTTGTTGCATGGTGATTGCTTTGATTAATTATTTAATTTAGAATTAAATAAATTATCACATTTACCCATTCTCCCACATTGATGGGAGATTGAAATTCAAGGGTTCATTTCCCTATAAATACCAAGGCTTTGGCATTTGGGAAAGAACACACTTGAGTGGAACTATATAGGCATCTCCATTGTTGAGAATACCTTAAGTTCGTAAAACTCCAAAGTTTATATTTTTTTCGGGTCCCGACTAACCTTCGGGACTTAGGTAGATCGGGTCGGGTTCGAGGGTACGAACCGTCGGAGGCCTTGCATTTGCGAGGTTGAAGTAAGAGCTCTTTTAGCGAGCGAAGCACGCGTCTAGGGTATAATTCTTTATCCCTTCTTCTTTTAATTATGTATTAATTATGTTTGCATGCTTTAATTGCTTTAGTTATCGGGGCGGGTCTTGGGGGGTTTATTTCCGCGTAGTGAGGGTCACTATGAAACCCTACAATACTTCAAGTTCTCAATAATATTAAATGTCACACAAGTTTTAATAAAGGTTATTATGTTAAAATTAAGGTTACTGTATTAGGGTCCCTATGCTCAATATAGGGTCAGTTGCACAGGTATAAACCTTAGGTTCACAATATATTATTATTGTCAACTAGGTCCACACAAGTTTGTTTTCGGGTTTAGATTAAGGGAGACACAATTAGGTGTCCACAACTATCCCCTCCATTTTGTAATAATTGCAACAGTTTGACTTTTGCACTATTTATATGATTATTTTAACTATACTTTTTACCATTATATATAAAAAAAATATGTTGCCATATAAACTATATTTGGTTTAGTCTTATGTATATTTTCATTATATTAACCTTTTATTCTTCTTAATGATATATAATAACAAATATTAATGGTCAAAGTTGTGCATGTGTTGTAATTATTATGAAATGAAGAGAGTAGAAAGCTTCAATCTTGTGATCTCAATGTTACAAAGCAAATTCCTCACCAAATACACCAAACCCTACCTAGTAATCTAACACATAATTGGCAAATGACCAGATGTGTCAAAAGCTGACCCGACCGACCCTATACGAAACCAACCCGAATAAAACCCGATTAAGATTTCGACTTGTATAGATATAATAATATAGCATGACTCAAACGTGAAATAGACCCGACCCGACTTGATCTCACTAATCACACTTAAACATCTGAATTAACAACTCTACAAGTAATCTATGTATCTCATATGTTGATATGCATAAATCTTATAACACCATACACATATAAAAGCATTAAAAAATAAATAAAAAGATAGCGGCGTAGAGCATAATCTTTTTGCTTGTGGATCATGGCATAGACGAAGTAAAGATTACATAATTACGCACCCTCCCTCTCTCTGTTCACAACAATAGAAAACTTGTACAACTTACGAAGGCAACTACTTAAAATTCAAATCAAAATACTCTTTCTTTCATTTTCCTTTTCCTTTTCCTTTTCCTTTTGCCTTTGGTCTTCTCTTCTATATTCGTGTGAATCAACCAACTAACCCCACAAGTCCACAACACAACACAACACATTGAACACAACACAATTTCCTTTCTTTTTATTTCTTTGACAACTCTTTCTTTATTTCCATCGCCTCATTCATTCATTCTTCTTCGGCAACCTTACCAACAATTTTTACTCTCTCCCCTTTTTCTCTCTCCTCTTTTCAACCGCATGCTAACCGTTTGATTCATTCATCGCTCTACTTCTCTTTATCTAAGGTTTGATTCTTTGATGATCATCATCAATCTGATCATTTTTCTTTTTGATTTTATGTACTGAATTTTGTTTATTTTGGTTTGGATTTTAGTGGTTGTTGATTGTTTATTGTCCGATCATGGATTTTTTTGATGTTGTTTGATCTTAATTTGGTTAATGATTGTTTTTATTTGATTGAATTTAGTTTTTTTTTTTTCTTTTCTTTTATTCAATTTTATGGTTTGATCGTTGCTTGGATTGATTGTTTAGTTTGCCAATTTTATGATTTTGTTTTTTGGGTGTTTTGATGATTATGGTTCTTTTTAATTTGTTTTTAGCTTAATTTTTTGCTTAAATCAGGAAGAATTTATACCTAACAAAAAGGAACTGTAGAAAGGAATTTATTCTTCGGTGATTCTGTATTTCAGGTATCGGTCAGCTGTAAATACTGATCTTCTGTAGTTTGATCAAATTAATTAGTAATTTAGTGTTTGATTATTCGTGGGCTATGATTTGTATGAGGAAATTTTGTATTCTTCTTGGTAGTACGTAGTTATACTCGGCTTCTACTGGCTCAAGATTGTTGGTTGAGTGATTTTTGAGAGGTTTTGCAGCTCTTAGATTGTTGGGATAGTAGCAGGATTAGTATTGGGTGATTGTTTTGAATGGGTAGTAGTTTTATAGTTGTGGAGGATGTGTAGTGCAGAGTTTCTATGCTGAGGTGGGATTCATGTTTATATATAAGGGAGAGAAAGAGGTGAAACGTTTTTGATGGGTAGGAGTGGACGAGAGATGCAGTGTTAATTTTTGAAATTTGATTACTATTGAGTTGATCAAATCATTAGCTATCCTGGGCTAATGCTCATCCAATGAAATGTTTCTGTGAAATTAGCTTTTACTTCAATTTGATACCTCTTGTGGTCTTACCCATCCAAGGTGGGAGAAAAAGTGTTTAGCTTGCTATTTTTGTGTATTAGATAACTATTAACTAGGCTGGGCCACTTCTTAGCAATGAGTAGTAGGTTTGCTAGTGTTCTATTTATCAAGATATCCTTCACGTTCATTTCTTTTTTGCATCCCTCTTGTAGTCTAGTCCACTAAAGGTGCAAGCAACCATAGACGGAGAGATTAGTATTCACAAAAGGTGTTTAGTTGATAGCTTCTAATTTAGTTTGTTTGGGTTGAGGATGTGATTGAATTAACATGTATTGTATATTTTTAATTATTAGGTGTAACATTTTTTTAGTTGCTTTTAGAATATATAATATGTATTGCGGGTATGGATTAATTTGTTTAATATTGTTTTGTAATATCTAGCACCTGACTGGTTAATGCCTTGGAAAGACGACATTTTGTTTTATAATAGTGTCATTAATATATTAGATATAGTATGTGCCTCCAAATTTCTGTAATTAAGTAAATAGGAGATTAGGTCTGTAATTTGAAGGCTTTCTTGAATTGTCATAGCTTACACAGATATAAGAGGGGTAGCAGAAATTTGAAATTGTCTACGATAAGTTTGGATCGCGAAATAGTAAGTCTGACTACTATGTGCTAATTATCTATTATCTTATTGCAGAGAAGCTATTCCAAATGGACCTTTTACCAATGTTCTAAACATTGGACCTTTACCCCCCAATTCTCATATGATATCCCGAAATCATCTCCTTCATTTGAGGGATGGGAGATGGTTCAAATTGAAGTTGACACATTCTTAAATGTTGGGGGAAAGAGAGGGGTTTTCCAAAGAATGGCCTCAGGTAGTTGCCGACATCTGTATTAGGTTGGTGGAGTTTAATCTTTCCTTTGGTTTGAACCGGAGAGACTTCATTAGTTTGCATTGGGAGGTATTTTTCTGACTGTAGCAATTTCGTTACTGCCAGGGCTTTATATGCATTATGCAGATCCTTTAGCAAATTTATTTTCCAGTTGTCCTTAGGTTATGGTGGTATCTGACTCAGAAGAACCTACACATTGAGCCTTGAGTTGGTGGGATTCCGTATGCAAAGGCCTGTGCACTTAGCACCTAAGATGAGCAATGCATCATTGTCCTGAGAAAAGGAAAGCTAACAACCAAAGTGGAATAAGCAGGAAATTATTCTACTTGTGGTTGCCAAAATTGTGGTGCCTGGTTTCCCATATATAATTGTTCTCCTTTTGAGATTATTTCTCTTGTAGATATAGGCTTCATGCCTTTACGCTGTATAGCATTACATTACTGTTCTTTGTTTAGATTGTTGCCCTTATAGATACTGGGATCTATATTTGCTGTACAGTATGACACTATGACTTCTCATTGATTTGAAAATAAATAAATTGAAGTACTGTAATGCTTTTCCGCGAATAATACTTTCTTTTCCGCATATGTTTCTTTTTGCAATTTTGACATGTTCCTTAGTATTCCTGTCAGACTTCTTATGCATGGCAGATTATTATAAAAGTCATAAGTGAGATGGATAGTTATTGGTCTAAAATTCATGGTTTAATCTTTGGCTGTGAAGCCCATATTTTAAAAGGAAAACCTAAACTAAAATTATGTAAAGATGTCCAATCTACCAATACCTATTCTTTTAAACCTTAAGTTTTTTATTTGAATTTGCATTAAGTTATCTGTGAATATATTTAATGGTGCTGATATAGGACTATGCATATTTACTTGGTGGTTATAATTTTATTTTATTGACATAAGTTAGATTGCATGTCTAGTAAAGAGAGATATGGGATTCTTGTTACCCGCCCCCCCCCCCCCCCCCCCCCAAAAAAAAAAAAAAAAAAAAAACACGAAATGAAAAAAAAATGAAGAGGTTTCTTTTGGGGTGGGTAGGTGTCTAATAAGGTGAAAGAGAACTTTCTAAGAGCTTGAGAGGCATCAAATAGGCTGTTAAAAATGGGGCTGTCGAACGAGCAGAATTTGAGAGGTATATCTTGAAACTGAAAAATGAAACTTCTTTTGTTGATTGAAAATTCTTGGAAGTATATATGTATATAAAAAAGACAGACTCTTTGCGTCTTAACATACTAGCACTGTAGATAATTATTGGAAAAGCGCCTTATGCATCATCCCTGTGTATGACTTTGAGGTAAGAGAAACAACATTGATGGTTTTGAATAATGGAAATCTTGTGCACAACTTATGATGAAAATTGACAGTTGCATAATAATTCATATCTGTAAAAGAAATCATTGATTAATTATCTGTTTGCATGAGCACATGTGGTATGCCAAGTTTGAAGGGCTCTGATTTTAGAGATTTCTGCATAACATCTGCATCATGAAGCTTTGAATATGCATGTATATCTGCTATGGAGATCACTATATATTACTTCCCTTTAGACTGATACAACCACATTTAATCTAAATATATGATGGACATGAAAGCTATCAATCTATATAGAAACCAACAGAATGTGTGAGTCAAGAAAGAAAGGTCATGGTCAATGCACACAATGTTAATTAACAAATGTCACTCTCTCAAGTGAATCGACAGGCCTTTCTTTAGGGAAAGGGGGAAGAGGGAATAGGGAGGAGGAGTTAGAAGCATTTAGTCTTATATAAACTAAAAAACTGTCTTATAAAAGTTCAAAATAACTCAACTAATACAAAATAGCAATGATAATATAAATATCGTAGATATATATGTTTTCTGCAGCTAGTTTGGATTTGGAAGAGCATGAGGAATTACCAGAGCAGGTGAGTTTTTTTCTCTTTGTTTACACAACTAATTTGCTGTTAATAAGCCATATAACTCTTCCGAAAGTTGAGTGTGATATATATTATAATTATGTATATATGTATATATATGTATTATATATCATAATTATATTCATACGGAGTATGTATGTTTTCGTTTGGTGACCCTTATTATGTCCATGAATTAAGTTTATGAACATACAACACTATGATGGGTATTCTTTTTTGGGTTGAGCTTAAGCAGAGTATTTTTAAGTTCTGTTCAATCAATCAATCAATCAATCAATCAAAGCCTTAATCCCATAAGTTCTGTTCAAGCTTAAAAGAAATCTTTTGAGTTTTTCATTCACCTTATTTTTTGGCGAGTGAAGTTCATGTCCAAGAATTTTATCGATTTAGTATTTCTTCATTCATTTCCATCTTCTAAAGTGTTTTTTGATTAAAATAATATTTTTTATGAGATTGATTGATTTCCTGATAAATTGTGTGATACTAAAGACTATCATTACAACCTTTTTTGCAGAGTTTGAAAATTATTTCACTAATTTTCATAGAGGTTATACTTCTTATTGGCTTTCTGAATGTTTAGTTGACAAAAAATTTCAAAGTAGAATTTCTACTAATTCCCCATGAAATCTTTCTCATTAATTATAATTCTACTTTATAATTTTTCTTCAGTAACCTAAATTTAGATCAGACTGTAGTCAGGAGTTGGTGATAACTGTTTAGGATATGCTGCTTTCAAATGATATTTGGGTTCGAATTGAACAGAAAACCAACTGTCTTTGATATTAATTGAAGCACAAGGTATTATTGCTTCATATGATTGTTGGCACCTATATATCTGAAGCAAAGATGGAGGAAATTGACTAGTTTTGTATTTGAATAAGTTTGTGGATAAAAGAAATTCGAGCGCCAACATTTAGGTTTTATGAATAAATCTTACCAACAAATAACTCATTGGTCCTACTTGTTGCAAGAAGTTATTTGGTTTGGATTGTGGTTATTAGTTGTATTATTAGATTGTTGGTTGAAGTTGCATTCTCTTAAGAACGAGATTGCGGTTTCAAGCATTAGGTTTCGTTTTATAAGCAGACAATGCCAAAATGTCGTGTAAGATGTGCCAATTCATTTCCAAAGTAAACAGATGTTATGAGTTTTATGTGGCAAGTTTTTACTAAGGTTAATGCCTTTTGATGTATTAGGATCTCTTATCAATTTTCATAGTTTGTTTTTTATGTGACCCTTTTTATTTTTTTAGTTCAAAGTTGTCTGTCTATCAAACATTTTCACTTACTTTTCTTCTCTATATATCCGCTACCATAGTTAGACATCATATTTGACATCTATATTGTCAAAATTTCAGGTTAGCAGATCCATTTTTGAAATTATTTTTGCATTATATATATCCCTTATATGTTTCTCATCTTTGACTTCGCTTGTCATTGTGAATGTACTAGCAGCTATGACTGCATCTTCCTCATCTTTATTATGTTCTCTGTCTTCTTAGATCTTTAATTAAATTACCCAGAATCAGCTCCACAATCTTTTTATAATTTTATTTTACTCTTATTATCTATATATATTTCTATCCCTAAAATTCTTCTAGTAGGGTCTTAGTTCTGCCTAATTATTGGTTCCTTGGTGTTTTGACCAGAAATCGGTCCTGACTGCAAGGTTCAACCTTGCTGCCACCATAGTCCTGTTTACTGGATATGCAGCTTTTTATGACATTACACATCAAATTATTCTAGACTTAATCATTAATTTGCACTGTTGTGAACTCTTATAGGATGTCAGTGAAGAGATGAGAAGAGAGAGAAGGACGGAGAGGTGGAGTTAAGGGGCATAGAATGATGAGTAACCCAAGGGAAGAGGGAGTAAAAAATGAAAAGATGATGAGAAGATTTTTTACACTCCTTTTGCCCCAATTAATTATCCCATAGCCATCTATTGAGGATTTTATATGAGTGAAAAGTGTAGATATAAAAATGGGTGGGTAGTGTGGGGCACAACTCAGAGAGAAAATATTCCTTAAAAGGAAATGAGACAAGTAAATCAGGATACACCAATTAGGTAAATGGTGCAAGTAATTTGGGACGGAGATAGTAATTTTTTTATTTTTTTCCATTAATTTAATTCAAAAAAAATAAAAAAAGGTTTAAGCAGAATAAATTAATAATTAGTGAATTGAATATTTGGGATTTGCTCATAATGTGCCTATTTCTAAAAATATCAAATAATTTTATCATAATCCACACAACTTTTTACCTTTCCCATATAAAATATACATGTACCTAAAATATCAGTATTTACTTTTTATCTTTCCCATAAATATTCTTTAATCTTTCCCGTACAATATTCTCTTTTTTATATATTTCCCATACAATATTCCCATACTCCCTCCATTCTCCTATATTACTGTGAAATTTGAGAAACGGGCACATCATTTAGGGACGGAGGTAGTAATTTACTTCCTCTGTTCCACAAATATTGCAACAAGGATAAAATTACGCATCCCAAAGCACTTTTATATTTTAAATATCTACTTTTATATAAGAGAAAAAATTATAAAAAGTTGATACTGTGAAAGTATTTACGAGACGAATCTAACAAGACCCCACATGACTATATTTTACTTTACGTATAAATCATAATATGTGGTCAAACAAGCGTGATGAATAGTGTAAAAGTCCAGTTATTACTAGAACTATCAAAAAACTTGCATCTACTTGATAGTAGCTGAAACACCTGAAATTATTTGAAACTTTAGGATCTATGGTAAATCATTTGAACTATATTACTTAGAAAGCTGAAGGTAGAGGTAGAGATAATAATGTAGAGTTGTAATAGAATTAATTGCAAATACATGGGAAAAAAATGACATGTAAAGCAGAAAAAAGCCCTAGTCTTGAACAGCTAGAATTAAGAAGACCCGGAAGCAGAACCTTTAGCCAAAGTATATGTTACATTAAATCTTATTTTTTATACGAATGAAAAAGTATTAAATAAATAGGAATTTATACGAGTCTTTTCATGTAAATAACTAAACATTAGAAAGCTCTTCTCATGAGAAGGTTTTTTTAATTTATATTATATTCAATAAGTGCTTATTTATTGTAATTAATGGTGTGGCCTGACTCTGTAGTCTTTTTAAGAATTTGGTCTTTTCTGACTTTTTTGTGCTGAAAATAGCCTGAGAAATGATTATTATACTGTATGGCTGCAGATTTTGATCCTTTTTGGAGATTTGCCTGAAAGTTGGTCTAGCATTTATTGTTAGAAATTCTTCTGTTATGCTTCCAGGTGATTGAGAAATTTTAAATTTTCAATTTTGCTGAGGAATTAGCTGCAGCTTAATGTCTCTGCATTTCTTTAGCGATTAATAGATGAATTGCTGAGTGTGATGCCTTGACGAATGTCTTCAAATAGCCTTCTGTATTTTGGAGCATGGTGTTTCTGCTCAAGTACATGTTATGTCCATGCTTTGAGGACACGTTTTTCATTGTTGGATCATTTGTATCATCTTAGAGGAATGCACATGGTGGCCTTTTCAGAAGCAAGAGAGTTCCCTGGTGGTCCTAATGCTGGGGTTTACAGCAAACATTGTTTTGCTGAATGTTGCTTTATAGTAGGCCCAGGTGTTGTTTACTGCATCATTTTTTTTCAGGGTGTTGAACTAGTTTTTTGTCATGCATATGCTTATGACAAAAGTAGGTTTTGAGGTTTCAATTTGAACTAGTTGAAATTGTGGCTGGAAGTGCAATAGTTACATAATATACATTCTGTTGTTCTTTGGATAAAGATGAATATGTAACTTGATGGTTTCTTACACAACAGTTTTACCTTTTTCGTAAATTGTGTCCATCTAGTTGCTGATCCTGAGTGTACAGTTTTGTTTATGTAGCTTGACATGGTGAATTTGCAATATTGCACTATCTTTCCAAATGAAATGATGCTTCACATTAATGACTTAGTTGCTTTTTTTTTTTTTTCCTTGTAAAATATTTGACTTTGTTGCTTTAGCTTCCTTACGCATTTAGTCTTATGAAACTACCGTTGAATTAAGGTTAGCTTGTGAAAGTGTAAAACTACTGAAACTGTTCTTGATTCTGCTTGCATGACTACATGTATTCAAATCCTGTCTGAGTGATAGCATTATGTGTGTTTGTGTGTGTTATGTACCTCTTGTTTGGTCATTGCTATTCTTATGTTACAAGGCCTTCATTTTTTGAAAAGGCTTATTTCTTATACATATAAGAATGTATTGTCTTGGGACTCTTTTTCTAGATCTTTAAGTTAGCATGTGTAAATTCTTTTTTCCTTCATAAAATATATATAATCATGAAAGGGTAAGTCTATGTTGTGCTGGTCATAGTCAATACTAACACGCAATAGCTTGATGCAGGCGATCTAAGATGAACTTTGCTCCTTGCATGTGTTGGGAATTATAAATGTACTTTTGGTGGTTAATGGTCCTCTATTCCTCTGCCATGCTATTAGTTTGAGCTTGTACAGTTCCTAAGTGGGCATGTAATTGTTTGGGATTTTCTTCCGTCTAAATGATTTCTGACTAACATATGCTTACCCTGGCATTTGAAATTGCTAACATCCCCAAAGAAAATAAATACGTAGTAAATTAATGACCTTATCCTTGTTTGAAGTGTAAATTCTTAAGTTGGCAGTGAGATCAGCATAGATTTTTCAGTAATATATTCTAGTGTCCTTTTTTTTACTGAAAAATTTGCCCCTTCCCTGCGATTTCTCTATTGTTCTCCAGTCACACTGTGTTTTTTCGACTCAGTATATTCTTCTATGTCTGATTGCATTAGCTGATTACATTTACACTGTAAAGACAGTGCTGACTGTAAAGTGTTTGAATGACTGAACTAGTCATTTGATACATTGTAAAAGGTTAAACAAAGTAGAAGTACAAACCTAGTTTCTTGTTAGTATTATGGGTCTAGTACTTCTTTAACTGCTGTGATTTATAACAATACCATCTTTTCTACTATTTGTAAATGCTTGTGGCCAAGCTTGTTAATTGCTTACTGCTACCTTCAACAGTTGATTGGTTAATGGAATCTCTGTATCTTGTTTGCCTAAATGTGTCTCTGTCTGCATATATTTAATGGTACATTGTACCTATGTACTGGCATTAAAGGGAAGCTTTAGTTGCCAAATACTTCCATAGAGGCTATCTATCCGAGCTTCCTCTGAAAAAAATAAAATAAAACTAAGACTTCTATTAGTGTTTTTGTTGAAAAATGGAGTGTGGAGATGAATAGTGTTTCATTTTCTGTAGTATACAGCCACATTGTACACTTATCATTTGGCAAAAAGAATAAACATCCTCTAACCTCTACATGACTTGGGTGTTCCTTTTGAAGACTAATTTCCTTTTATTTATTATTTTTACGTACTTAAATTATGGCATCTCTTTGCTCTTTCTCTTTTTCTTTTTCTATTACACATTACTATCATGGTTATTATATCAATTGATCTAAGTTTATGGACTATAGAGTTGATGATTTTATTGTTTTCCATTTCCTTTCCTGAACCTATGCAACTTCTTCGGGTTATAATTGGCTGGTCGGTTAGTTAATGATTCCACTTTTCAGATTTGAGTTTCAGAATGAATTCATTTCAATTTAGTATTCTTTGATTGCTAGAATATGTCAATGCTGATCTTTAGCAATATGAAAACAACAATTTTGTTCAAAATATCTGAATCTGGGTTCATCCCAATATATGTACTTATATTATGTAGCTTAATGTGCGTTTGAATGATCTGATTCCTAATTTTTGGGATCTTTCTTTTTGTGCAGGCTATATTTATTTTCTGATTGGGTCTTAGGCTAAGTCTCTGCTGTACTTGATGTGATTATGGCACACAGACACATATACAATACATCACAGATATTTGAGGCTGATGCCGATCAACCCTGGAATCTTACTGAAGATCCATATCTTCACTTTGGTAATCAGCGTCAATTTTTTTCACATCTTCATCTATTGTATTTTTATTAGATGATATTTTTTACTAGCTACATATGTTACTGCACTATTGGTAGATGTATCAATTAAATTTTTCCCTTAAGTTGTGGGTAAATTTTTTTGAGGCATCTGGTTAGGATGGTTATTGTTGTGAGTTATCTGGCATCGTAATGCATTTGCTGTCAGCATGACTTACTTAGGCTAGTTATTTCATTATCTAATTAATTTTTCTTATAACATTTCCATTATATTCTACTAGTATGACCTGATCATTTTTCTGTTCTAATTGCCTTCTTACTAAAGATTGTTGATTTTATCATTGGATTTTCTAAGATCGTGCACACTTATGCTGGGGTTATTATGTTTATTTTTTGTAATAAAATGAAAATTTTGTTGCAAAATGGAGATTTGCGGGAGGCAGTAGTTGTCTTATGTAAATGTTCTTTGTGTTTGGTTATGTTTTCTGCTCTTGTTTTCAGCTTTTTCTCATCCTGTCAAAAGTTGCATTCTGTACTGCTTTCAACTAAATACCATTTATATTATATTGCAGCAAGACCTAGTTCTGCAGAAAATGCCCCAATATTTCATCCCATGGAGAATGGACCTGTAGATCGAGTTCATTATGTTTCTCCATGGAATCCTGCTACAAGATTAAGTGGATACTCTTCGTCAAGCCAGATGGTGAATGCACCCCATTATCAACCTGATTCTTCTGACCCTTCTCGTGATTCTATGCATCCATCTGCTGGTGGAAATGCCTTCATGGTTCCAGAAAATCATGTTCATCATGCATCTTCCTCAAATTATGGAGTTGAAAACAACTTTTTTGATCTTTCAATGAGCAATGGAAGGGGTCCGTATAAAAGGAAAAGCCCTGGGATCCCTTCTATGACTGAAAGGGGCAGCTCAAGCAGATATTATTGTGCTGGAAGTTCATCTGATGTGTCATCATCATCAGATTTGCGTCAGGAAAAATCAACTGTGGATGCTCAACATAATCACTGGGAATCACTGGCTGTTCCTGCCAGTTACAGAACCAATCAACTTTCAATTGGAAATGAAACCTCTATGAGGAATGTGAGAAGCCGATCCACATTGGACTTGGAGTCAGATGTTTATAGGACCCATCTCCCAACTAATTATCCTCACCATCCCAGTTCGAGTAGACTTCCAATTGATCATCCTGGCATAGTTGATTCAAATCCAAACCCTAGTGTTCCTTTACCTGAATGGACGCCTATTCATGTATCTGGTGCTCCTCATGGAAGGACTATAAGTAATTTGAGTCATGAGAGTAATCACTTCTTTCCTGGAAGCAGCATAGCAAACTCTTCTGGAGATATGCCAGGATATCACCATGAACATATTGCCAGCAGAAATTCTCTTTCACAAAATTTGCATCCTACTCCATCCCATACACGGGGAGTTCGAAGTAGCTATTCACACAGGTCCACTCCTAATGGTAGAGTTTCAATGGGCAATATGCGTGTGAGCCATGTGGCTCCTCCTGATGAAGGTCTTCAGTTGCCCGGAGAGGCTCACTCAGCAAGACATCCAAGACAATTTGGCCCTGTAGGATGGCGCAATGGTGACAGGAGTGGTAGATCTAGGCTTTCTTCAGAGAGATATCGTTTGCTTTCTGAGGATGCTGGCGTCCATGATCGCCTGACACCTGAGGTAGACAAACTTTTCAATTTTGTCGTCAGCTTTTTATTTTTGTGTGTGTATATATATATTCCTTCGTTTCATTAAGATTTATTGGTCATTTCTAAGGCCAGTCTGAGCCCATAACTTACCATTCCTCAACCCTAATGGGCCGAATCCCTCAGATCAGACTTTTAGCAACTTGCACTAAAACTCAGACCTGTTGTACACCCTTCTCACTCAGCTGACTGGCTGCTCCTCTGTCATCATTGTGCTTATTTGCATTAGAGCACAAGATCTATATTTGCTCTAACTCAATTTTTATATTTCATGGTAGGTGTAAGTGGAAGCCGAACACTAATGCTCCCTTAAAAGTGTCATTTGGATTAATCTAAAACATCCAATATTTCTGAATTAAATATTTGACCGTTCTCACAGAAAAAGTTGTAAAATTGACCAAATAGCCCTGCAATCCCTCCTCACGTGGTCATGCGAAAGTGCAACCTGGTTGTAGCAACTGCTCTGCACCAGAATTGTCTACCTATTACACCTGTAGAAAGAACTGCAATAGATATCTTCAGGGTCCTTTGGGTGTATTTCATGGCCGTTTTGTGTAATCTTGATGAGGTTCCTGTTCACCCTTACTCTAATTTTTCCTCGATTAAGAGAGAACATGAGCCATAGAGATGGTCGAAATAGAGACATGGTATTTTGTTCTTTGTCAGTAAGATGATCCATCATTTCTGTTTTGTCCCTTCTCCTTGATACTTGCTAGAACATTTGCACCATCTCAAATAAAAACCAAATTCAAACTAGCAACACGCAACCTCATCCATCTTATAGTTAATGCAATACTACAATTTGAAAGTCATAGGATAGCATACCAGAAAATAGTGCTGTGATGTAAGCCTACGATAGTGAAGAAATCGCGGGGAAAAATAAAGGAATTTTATTGTAGTCATATTCTCTAAAATTGAGCTTTTATTAGCAAGACAAAACTCATTTTCGTTTTGTTAGGGTTGTGATGTGAGCAAAATCATTTGCTCATTACATTGGGACAAATTACCTAGACTGGCTGATAATGCTGGAGACTTGGACTATAAACACACGCTCGTTCCAGCATCCTCTTGTTGTGGTTAATTATGCTCAATACCCATGGGTGTCTTTACTGCTTGTATGCATGGGTTTGACCATTTTGTGTGATGAAGGGGGGGGGGGGGGGCACTCTGCAGACATTTCTTCTTAAGTCCGTGAGTTTCTATTGTAATGATATAACAATGTTATGTAATTGATTTTTTTCTGTATGCTTGTAAGTTTCTGATTGACTGTTGTTTGGACTTGATTTATTTTTCAGGGTCTGATGGTTGTTGACCGTTCTTCCCTATATGGTTCAAGGAGTTTTTTGGATCAACATCGAGACATGAGACTAGATGTAGACAACATGAGCTATGAGGTTAGTGTAACTGGATTTAATTTATGCATCTCTCTCTGGCATTTTTTAATTGTTTTTCTCTAACATTTTGTGATGAGCAGGAATTGCTTGCACTTGGAGAGAGGATTGGAAGTGTCAACACTGGGTTGCATGAAGATCAATTGCCCAAGTGTGTGACAGAGACTGTATACTGTTCATCAGATCAGGTGCAGGAAGAAGGAAGATGTGTAATATGCCTGGTACTTTTCTTTCCCACGAACCTTTTGCTTCTCGTGAAATGCTGACATGCCACTGAGTGCTATATTACTAGAGCATATTTATGATGGTATTTTTTTTATTTTTTTTTATTTTTTTTTTTTGGGTTCTATTGAGTTAGAAATGGACGGATGATAAACTGTGGCTCTCTTTAATTGTTTTGGTTTTTATAAGCTTTGTTCCTTGATCCAATTTTAATATCATGTGATATGGGAGCAAGGAGGTTTCATCATTAAATATTTAGTTATTCACAATAATTAAGGTTCTTTTTTGGTTTTTTAGATTTTTTTTTTTTTTTGTGATTTCCTTATAACGAAAATTCTAGAATTAGTCTACTATTCTGTTCCAGCTATAGAGCCTTAGGTTACAATATTTTAGAGGACATGAGAAATAAAACTAAATTGATTTGCTACTAAGATCAAACTATAAAGTCTTTGCCTTTGGTCTATCCCTTTCCTTCCACCATTGAAGGGTTGTAAAGAATCTTGACCATGTAGAGACCATAGTCAGATAGAATCATAGAAAATTTGGCAATTGAAATTCCAGTAAGAGATGATGATTCATGGACAAGTTCAACCACTTATTCTTGGGGAAAAAAAAAATATGTTTTTTAACTAAGCATGTCTTTGGCGATTGGAATTCCAATAAGAGGGTGATTTATGGACAAATTCAACTACTTATTCTTGGGGACAAAAATATATTTTGAAACTAAGCATGTCTTTGGTGATTGGAATTCCAGTAAGAGGATGATCCATGGGGAAAAATTACAATTAAGCACGTTCTGACCTAAGTTCGAAAAAACAGTGCATGCTTTAGCCCCTCCTGTGGCCCTGAACAAGCGTTTTGCCCAGAATAGAGATCTCAGTGAAAAACATCAAAAGCAAATTTTAGTAGAAGACATAGTTTGGAGATGTGAAACAAAGTTAATATAGATGGGATTGTATAGTTGAACTCTTGACTAAGCAGTTACCTTGATTCGGCAGGAGGAATATAGGCATATGGACGATGTTGGAACCCTTAAAGCTTGCGGCCACGATTATCATGTCAGCTGCATCAAGAAATGGTTATCTATGAAGAATGCATGTCCAATTTGCAAGGGCCCAGCTTTGCCAGAAAATACAGCTGATAAATAAGCTAGAGCTGCATGGTAGAGTTTGACAGTACCCCATTCTTTGTAAATATGTTACACATGTAACAGTGGTAACTTTCCTCAAATGAAGGAATTTCATGTAGGTATATTAAGGTTATGCTTAGTGGATTGATCAAGAACAGAAAAAAAGTAAGTTTATTTTAGTGTTTAATGTTAGTCTTTTCTGTTGGGACTAATCTATATTTGCTGATAATAATAGTCATTCTGTTTATAAATTCAATGCTACCATTCTAGGGATGCTTTTGTTTTTCTTTCTCAGCCATGCTTTGTTTGAGGAATCAGTCTGGGGTAATGGCTATCGAGAAAGGTATCTATTACCTAATGTGTTGTGTCTAAGAGGAGCACGAAGAGGGCAACTAGATTGAAAAAATTCCCATATCCTTATTTATCATTTTGCACAATATAATTGATACAAGTTTTAGCAATAGGTGCAATTCAAATGCCATTATGGCCAAAATGGGACTAAAAACTCTTTTAGAAATGCATTTGGTAAAAAACTTTAAACCCCCTCCCCCCTCGGTTTGCTTGACACATAGTTTTAGGCAATAAAATATTTCCTCTAATTTTTAATACTTGTAATACACTTTTTCATGGTATTTAAGAGAAGTTGGCCTCACATAACATAATACACTTGAAATTAGGGTGAGAGTTTGTTAGGAGTATAATTTAGTGGGTCGTGAGTTGGAATAAGGTTAATAGTACAACTTTCAACAAAAAAAACTTTCCCATTATTGTGTGTTGCGAGTATTGTGACATTTACATTTTAGGGAGCAAGTAGTAAAAAACGGAGAAAGTAAGATGTAAGTGGGATAGTTGGAGCATTTAATAATAGTAAAAGATGAATGGGGAACATGTCTATCAATGAGTTTTACAGTAAGCTCATAGAGTTAATGAGGTTTGCACCTGAAGTAGTACCCATGGAAGAGCTGAAAGCATAGAGGTTCAAGCACGGACTCACTGGGAAAGTTGCGAGGAGTGGCTTTTGAAACCTCAGATGAAGTTTATGGGAGAGCTGTCACCTTTATGGGATTCGGGGAAGGGAGTTAGAGAATTCAAGTAGAGGAAAAAGGAAGAATGATGCGAGTTTTCGGGGGCTGAAGAGAGACCTATGGGAAAATTCTAGTTGAAATGGGAATTTAAATAGGTGGTACAATGAGGGAATCTTTGGGAAGGGAGCTAATGGACAAGGGAGTAACAACCGTGGGAATGAAAATAATACCAAACTCAAGAGAAGCTATTTTTTGCAAGAAGTGTGAGAAAAAGCACCCGAATAAGGATTGTGATAAAAACCTTATGAGTTGCCATTATTTTCAAAAACTGGGGCATTGCGAGTATGAGTGCTTTACGAAGGAAAAAGTCTAGGAGACCAATAACCCACCTAAACCACCCAGCTGATGGACTAATTTACAAGGCTGGAACCGGTATCGATGTAGGAATGTCTCATAATGGTCTTATGTTCATGATGAATCGGCGTGAGGCCGATATTTCTAATAATGTGGTAATTGGTACATTCCTCGTTTGTTCTTCAATTGCTAGAGTCTTATTTGATTTAAGTTTATCCCATTCTTTTGCTTCTAGATTTCTAGTCAAAAGACTAAAGCTAGATATCAAAGTCCATTGTTAGTAACTTTGGATAACTTTGTTCCAACTGGAAAGGTGAGGAATTGTTCCAAGATATATAAAGGTGTACCTATTACCATAGTTGGAATTCAGTTTAATTCATATTTGATTGAGTTCGAGTTGCAAAACCTAAATATAATTATGGGAATGGATTGGTTGGGAATATGTAAGGCTCACATTGATTGTGCTGCTTAGAAAGTAAAACTGTTAGGCCCTAGTAAAGTGAGAGTGACCTTGTAGGCGTCACACGAAGTGCGCCTATATGCTTGGCAATTATAGGAAGTTAGATTTAACATTATACGACAAGGACAAAAAATTAGAGAGTCGCCAACAAGTTTTTAAGGAACTTGTAAATCGTTCATGGATCATTAAAGGAAACCACAAAAAGGGACAAACTGAAGGCAACAACGATTTGATCCATGAAGGTTAGACCCATTCATAATCTATGAGATTACTAACTCCATAGTGGTCCTGAACCATAACTAGATATTCGGGGATGATGTTACGGATTGAATCATGAACCCAATGCCATTCGTATTGGCCTTTATTTGATTCTTATAGCGACATGTATTAATTGCAACCTAAAAGACATACAAACAATATTCAATTAGTTCCAAATTAATTAACCTAAGTTGGTTGAATATTTTATGCACACATAAATCTAAGTATTGTGATCACTTGAATTAAACAACAAGATTAATAGGAACCTAAACTGTTTGTCCAACTTATCTTATTAGGCGTGATTTTCAATTATATATTCCCAATTAAACATGCAATATTGGTGATCAACACAAATAGAATAAATTAAATAAACATGCATAAAAATATTGGAAGCAACTCGAGAATAATTAAAGGAACGAATTAAACGCATCCTAAACATGATACTAAGTACTTGTTAATAAAAACCTAGGCATGATACTGACAAGATTAATATAACACCTAAACATGATACTAATAATTAAAAATAGTAGAGAGCCAATCATACCTTGATGCAGTCTAGTCTATGCAAGTTTCAATTAGGTCTTCATCAAATCTGGTTGCTACCCCCATAGGAGCTCTATTGGTTTTGGAACTTTCAAGTTTATGTTTCTTTATAAGTTCCTTAATGTATTACTGTTGATGAATCATAACTCCTTGAGTTTGTTTAATTTACAATCCAAGGAAGAAATTCAACTCGCCCATCATGCTCATTTCAAATTTTCCACTCATGAGATCAGCAAAATACTTACACAAAGATTCATTAGTTTCACCAAATAGTATATCATCAACATAAATCTGTACAGCTAAAATGTCTGTTCCTTTTTTATTTCAAAAACGAAGTTTTATCAATTTTTCCTCATTTAAAGTCATTTTCAAAAGGAACTTAGACAATCTTTCATACCATGCTTTAGCTAGGAGCTTGTTTTAGTCCATAAAGGGCCTTGTCAACCTTGTAGTCATGGTCTAGGAACTATGGATTTTCAAATCCAGGAGGCTGTTCCACATAGACGTTTTCCTCAAGATATCCATTTAAGAATGCACATTGACGTCCATCTGGTACAACCTAAATCCCATAAAAGCAGCAAAAACTATAAGTAAATGAATGGCTTCTAACCTTGCAACCGGGGAAAATGTCTTATCATAATCTATTCCTTCTTGTTAATTAAACCCTTAAACTAGCAATCTTGCTTTGTTCCCGACTATTATACCATGTTCATCTAGTTTGTTTCTGAACACCCACTTGAGACCAGTTGTCTTTTGATGGCTTGTTCTAGGTTCCAGATGCCAAACTTTGTTTCTTTCAAATTATTTAATTCAGCTTGCATGACATTAATCCAGTCAACATTAGTTAGTGCTTCCACATGATTCTTAGGTTCCATAGAGGACAGGAATGCATAGAATGCACAGAAGTTCCTTAGTTGTGATCTCGTCTAAGTTCCTTTAGTTATATCATTGATAATAACATTCACTGGATGTGAGCTTTGATGTTTCCAAGGCTTTCTTGAGTTGCATTGTTCACTTGCAATTCAGTTGGAACTACTACTGGAACTTGCAGTGGAGCTCCTTGTGCTTCATCAGTTACTTGCTCATGTTGTTGAGTATTATTCTCAGCGGCTTCTTGATTTGTTTCACCTTCCTTTTCATGGTGCTGCTTCTCCATGGATGTTGATTCTTTATCTGGATCATACTTTCGTACTAATCCAATTTCAAAATCATCATCGTCATTCTGTAAATCAATCAATTTGTCCGCTCCATAAAAAATCACAAGTACATTTTCTTCCACACACATTGTTCTTTTATTATAAACTCTGTAACCTTTACTGTTTGATGCATATCCTAAGAATACTTCCTTATCACTACGTTCATCAAACTTTCCCAAGTTTCTCTTTTCATTATTATGAACAAAACACTTGCAACCAAACGATCTAAAGTAAGAAATATTAGGTTTTCTCCCTTTGAAGAGTTCGTATGGTGTTTTGTTGGTGATGACTCTATCAGTGACTCTATTCAATATGTAACATGTTGTGTTGACTGCTTCTACCAGAAAGTTCCTAGGTAGACCACTGGAAATCAACATTGTTCAATCCATATCATCAAGGCTTCTATTCTTGCGCTCAACCACTCCATTTTGTTATGGAGTCCTTGGTGCATAGAAGTTGTGGTCCATTCCTTGTTCTTTGCAAAACTCATCAAACTTAGAGTTTTCAAATTCTTTTCCATGGTCAGATCTTAGATGCACAAGTTGGTGACCTTCTTTTCTATGTTCTTTCTTCACAAATGCAACAAACTCATCAAAAGTTTCATCTTTAATTATAGGAAAGAACACCCATGTAAACCTTGAGAAATCATCAACAATAACCATAACATACCTTTTTCCACTTCTACTTTGGATTTTTATTGGACCACAGAGATCCATATGTAAGAGTTCCAAAGGTCTCTTGGTGCTTACAATATTTATAGATTTAAAAGAAATACGTGTTTGTTTTCCTCTAACACATGCATGACAATTTTATCCTTTAGGAACTTGATGAATGGAAGTCCTTCCACAAGGTCCTTAGATCTAAGTTTATCTAATAAAGAGAAACTTGCATGACCAAATCATTTGTGCCACAATAGTGGATCATTTTCAATGACACTAAGACATGTCAGACTGCTATTTGGAACTTCGTTAAGATCCCACTATATAAGTGTTCCCTTTACGAATTCCATCCAATATAGTGTTCCCAGTGTCATTGCTGATAATTTGGCACGAATTAGGAGTACAGCTAACAGAGCTACCTTTGTCATAGAATTGTGAAGTACTAAACAAATTGTGCTTCAGACCCTCAACCAAATATAATTATCAATTGTGTGGGAACTTGACCTTCCTACTATGCCAATAGCAATAATTTCCCCTTTCTTGTTATCACCAAAAGTCACAGTCCCTCCATAGTACGTGTCCAGTGAGAGAAATCTTGACTTATCTCCAGTCATGTTCTTAGAGCAACTGCTGTCGAGATACCACATGTTGTTCCCTCTCAATGGAACCTACATGAAAATCAAACGTCATTGTCAGGAACCTAGGTCTCCTTGGGTGCATATGTTACAGATGTAGACTCATATTCCAAATCCGTATCTGCTTGACATGATTCTCATTCTGAAGAGTAC